ACTTATTCTAAAAATATAACAAACACATACCCTCATGCATAAATATAAATACACCTAATAGTTAGCTTCAATTCAGGAGTTAAACAAGACAATAAATATTTCTATCTCAGAGCTCAGAACTGGATATAATTAGTCATTCACTCCAATTCCTTATCTTGCCAGAGTCCAAGGTCACAGGTTCCACTTGATAGTGACCGATGCCGCCCGGCCGTCCGGGGTGATTCAAAGGGTGTGAAAATGAAAGTCTATTCACCGAATAGAAGCACCGACAACGACACACAAAGGACGTATTGTCCGTGTACGGTCCACAACCGGATATCACAGCGCAAGTGTGACCCGCGCGTAATGTCCTCTAGGTGCAAACAACGGTGCTGACACCCGCAATGGTCCAACAGTCCTGCAGACGATCACACTCGTGGATCAGCAAGGTCACCAGTCAATGCCAAGACGCAGGTCCAGGGAAAAAGCCCTTAAAACAAAATCACTCCAGAATAGTCTTTACTCCAACAATATAAATTAAATAGGCTACCAATATATTATATACAGTTCCACACAATAGCCTATTTGTATTTCTTATCCAGTCGCAGCTTAAGTATTACTGACACTTTAGTAATCAGCTTATATCTGAATACATTATTAATAGTTTACAAAACACTCTTGCTCAGTTTCTAATGAGAACCTAGTGCACAGTGATAAATACTGTACTTTAAAGTGAATAACCAATGTTAGGGTGTAATATGTAATAACTCAATAGGCTAGGTATCAGTAAGACTGACAATTGTTACTCTAGCTTTGCCTGAAATTACTCATTACACTCTAGAACAATAATAATACCTAAGAATGGGTTTATAATTAAATAACATCATTAAATAACATGCTGTACATATTGAGAGATTAAGTAAATAGCCTACAATAAATAATTTATCAACGTGGTTCACAAATCATATTTACACCTCAACCTCATATTAACATTTTATAAAAAAATAGCTATCCACAATCAGTTCAATGACTACGCTATATCTTGCTTTATTATAATGTTAGCAGAACAAAAAGGTTTAGTACATTTTGTCCCTTTGTTTGCCTTTTGTTTTGTGTAGTCAGTTTTGCAAGATTAATTATTCTAGCACGGTTAAAATAGCAATATAAATATCATGGCAACAACATGCATAAAGTTCATTCTAATATTTACATTTAAAATACTAACTAATATTTACATTTTGTTTGTTTGTTAACCTTAGCACTTTTTCAGTTAGAAGGTTCTAAACTAATTACTTCTGTTTTACTTAGTGTAAAACCATTAATTAGTATCTCGTTGTATTTAATTAAATGTTTGCTCACAAGTTCTGACAATCTCATTCTATGCCCAAGGCTTAGTTTAGTTTTATTAAATACTTCAATATTAATGATTAGGCAAAATTAGCTGTACTACTCATGAAACTCAAGTATAACATTTTTATAACATGGTAGCGGCTCACCTTAGCCAAATTCCAAATTAGGCTCACAAAAATCCAGCGATGCTGAAGGGCTTGATGTCGGTTACGGCTCTCTACCTGAAGTCTCGTGCACGCTCTCGTCTCTCTCTCTCTACTACTACTTAATGTAGCAGACTCTCTACTTCCAATGTCGACTGGACAACGCTTGACGGTCAAAGGTTATGTAGCTTCCTTATCGCTCACGGTAACCGTGGCTGAGCCTCAAATCAACAGTTACAGCTGGTGTTCAACTCTGATTCCTCTGTTATTGTTGCAACAATGAAAGCGCGCTTTTTCATTTGGCTGTCTAATCATGTCATGTAGAGTGATCAGTTCTACATAACTATTGCATTGGTAAAACAGAAAGTCAATGTCACATAGTAGCGAACTCTAACATTGTAATATATTTGAGCAATCATTTTAATTACTAAACAAAAATGATTGTTGTCTATTTCATATCCTGAGAAATGTGTACTATTTTTGTAAAAGAACAATCACTTGACTAGTTCCTCAACAGGGTGTAGGTTATCGCCATCGCACCAACTCTTCAGTATAACAGCGTTACCTTAAGTACAAGTATTTTTTGTTTATGTGTTCTCAAACTGAATTTGCCCCATATTTTACAGCGGGCAGATACAATATTTGTTATTTGATTCTAGAATTATCAGTTTATTTTTTACTATTAGAATCCCGTCGAAATCGACGGTTAATCCCAAGTATCGTCTACTACAGATGCAATACGCCAAAGAATATCGTCTACGTGCAATCTCCAAGAAGTGGTAAAAAAGACTAATTTCCGAAAAATAGTTTAATCATTAGTAGTACCCTACTTTTGTGTGTGTTAAAGAATTTCTCTTTTGCGATTGCCACGTAAAATCAAAACAATGTTTAAGTTGAAATTGAAGGTCAATAACTCGGGTGAACTAACCCGAGTGACCCGACACCCCAAAAACTGGAATGGGATGTCGTAAAAGGGAAATCTAAGAAATTGCAAATGAAATCCATTCGGAATAACAAACGGATTAACGGGACATCCCTGTACAATGTTCACTCCTAATTCATTTACAATTTCCGAGTATTGACTTTTTATGTTTTGGACCAAACAATAGGTCGAATAGTTTGTACCATATGCCTACGATTACAATTTACAACAGGTAGTACGTTCACCTTTGCCAGTAATAAATTCATGGTTTGTTCCTCAATTAACAATGAGGCAGATTGTGTTATTGTTCTAATACAAATGAGAAAAAATCACAAATTTTTACTGTGTAATCGACATTTTAAAAATCAACCCCTGAGTGATCAATACACAGCCTGAAGCCGCGTTTAAGTGAGACCAGTAGAGCAGGCAGGTTACTTACCTCTAATGTATTTCAAGCTATAGTACAGAAAGAATGACAATAACTTAAGATTTATAAATCTCTTATTTGATTCTAGACTCAAAAGAATTATTATTATTTTCTTCATAAATTATTCAATTATTTTTTTATAAATAATTTACTTCGTAACGTGTAACACTACTTAAATTAAGACCAGTTTTAATTTCTATTATAGTTTACTCTTTTTTTTATCCGTCCAGAGTACATGCTGGTTATTGTTATTTTAATTTATCAATAAAATAGAGTAATTATGTTTGTGTTTATTGGTAATCCGGAGGCTAACATCAACCTTATCGATTCTTAACCCATTACTTTGGAAATAGCCAAGTAAACTCTGATTAAACGAATTTGTGCTTGTCTAATCAGTTAGGAATAATTCATTATAGGAACTTAAGGGTAAAGGTTTTCATTAGACAAATTTTATGTCGGCAATAATAAAGTAAAACAATTGATTTACTTTAAGATATTTCCAACAATATACTAATACTCCAGAAAAACCTAAGTAGTTTTTATACAAAAGTATTTTTACATCTAAACAAAGCCTATGTAAACAACCCTGACTCGAAGCATAACAGACGACCAGCGCGTTGCAGACGCCGGGACTAGGCTAGCGCCGCCGCCATCTTTGTCCGTTTCGTCGGCTAGTCAGACTGCCACGCTCCTGCGCTCCGAGTAGCGCTTCTATTTTGTTATGTGTTCGCTGGTCCAGGGGCCCTCCCCTGGGAACTTTTGAAAATTATACCTGTTAACTCAAATTTTTAGGCTATTTTGCGACATACAAAAGACATTTTTTAATTGTAGAAAAAAATGATGAATTGTAAAAAAATCCTATTTTAAAGTGAAGGAGGGGGGGGGGGTCAAAACAATCAAATTTGTGTGAATTTCATGCAAGTAATACTATTTTTATATATGCTGATTAAGAGCACATTTAAATCAGAAACTACAGATGTCAATTGGTATCAACCTCAACTCGATAGTTTAGAAAGCACATCTGAGGACAGAATTAAACCAATCAAGTTGAACTTGTCTTACAAGGCCCCTTATTCAAAAATTTAAAAAGTCACTGTGGGCCCGGGCCCCTATGCATTTGCCCCCCCCCCCCTGTTGACGGCCCTGTCCAGCACTAGTGTTGGTGTCTAGGGCAAAGTCCAATACTGCCCTTTCCCTCATGCACTGCAATGCTCAAGTTGGAGGAAGACCCTGTACCCTATGCGATAATTCCTACACAGTGATACACAGTGAGCCATTAGGGCTCTTCCTTGCTAGTCACAAGTATATGCACTAATAAACACATAACACATAGAATTTTCACAAGTTCCTTCCTCAGAAGTAGAGAGTCTTTCTATGTCCTTGTCAAGAGTTTACTCGACCAGAACATAGAATGACTCTAAATACATGATTCCTAGGAAACATGCAACTATTTCTTTTGGTTTCAGGTTATCGGTATAGCATTTTCATACCTGATGATCATCGGACCCATGGCTTACAACAAAAACAGGCATTTGTGGATCCAAAACAGTGCTTAGAATCTGTAGTTTTAATTGCTTGTTGCATAATAAAAAGTCATGAACTCGGTAATAACCAACAAAGTGACATCCTGGAAGATTTTGTTCTTTAACATCAATTTAGGAATAATTTGTTCAGTGTTTTTGCTCTATCATTTTTTAGTCTTTCAAAATAAATTTGCTTTTCTTATTGAATACATCTTCTAAAACTCCAGGGTTTATTTATTGATTCAATTAATCCTATTCTGCACTTTTCCATCCCTGGTTCCATCCTTGGTTATGATCTTCATAACCAAAAAACAGAATTTCTTGTAAAACAAGAATAAGAAGATGAATGGATGTGTTGAGAAAGAAGGAAAAGCAACTAGTAGTAGATTTAACACAAGATACCAATGACAGCAAACATCGGACTTGCTGCCGGGTATGTAGTGACGTTATAACACACAGGCCATCTTAGATGTTATCATACATCGTGGGCTACTTCTACAAGTTCTGCCACATAGATGACATTAGCCTACATGAAGAGTTTGTCATGTTATCTAGCCTATAATGTTCGATTTATTAGTCTTTGTTGGTAAAATGGTTAGGACTCTGAATGAGTCATAAAATTTATAGTTTTAACAACAATAATATTTGTTACTCACATCTTTGTCCGTATGGCCTGCTTTTACTTTCTTCTCAACGGTCTCGACCAGTTTGGTTATAGCCTGAAAAAAAAAACTTATTACTGTACAAAACTTAAATACTTAACTTACATGTTAATTGTATGTAAAAGCGATGGAAAACCGCACAAAGTTTGGGGTAGAGATCAGATCCATTATTTTGAGGAGCAGGAATGAATGAGTCTCTGGTGCTGGTGTGACGGGTTGTTGGCAGCTTGTGAATGATTCTATTAAGGGTTAGTATATTTGATTTAATCAAATTTAAAGGTTTATAGTAGGCCTATGTTACTTTGGATTCAATAATTTATTTTAATATTAAAATGAACAGTTTATTATTTTTAGAGGTAAGAGGACTTGCTAGTACTAACTTTGCCTCTCAAATAAAGACATTTTTCATTTCATTCATTTCTTTCATTGAATTAATTGAAGATGTCAACCTGATGGTTCAAAAAGAGTTAAGTACATAACCTAATTAAAGTTGTAACATTGGAGTATAAATACAGGATACAGCATAGGTATTATAAATCCATTAGCCTAGCCTACTTTCATCCATTACTTTTACTTTTAATAGTGGGAAATTTGAACCGGAAAAATATTGGAAGAAAAGATTAGATAGGTTTAACTTAACTGTAACCCACAAAAGGTTCATCTAAGGAGTATGATACGATACAAGCTATCATTAACTTAGATCTCAAAAATGTGAATGTAATTATAACACTTAAAAAGGTGGTTTTTGAATGGTTTACAAATTGATCTGTTACTTATCATGAATTCATTGACATAACAGTTCAATATATTTTGTTTCATTTTAACGATAGGCCTTAGTAAATACATCTTTTGGTCCACCGTGGCAAAGGAGCCTGTTATTCTTGACAATCGGCATACACTTTTGATTAAATTGTTTTGGAGCAGTGAGGGAGGAATCAGTCCAAATCTGCCCATGTAAACTTTATAAACATCACTTCACCACTGCAGTCAAATGCTACTGAAACAACAACAAAATAAATACCGCATCAACATAGAGGCTACCAGTGCTTATTCTTACCAGATTCACTTTTACAGCATTCTTCTTTTCATGTGGTTTAACAGGATCCAAGTTTTCTGCTATGGAAGTCATTGTAACTCAGGGCAATCTAAAAAAACAATCACCAGAAATTATTGTAGGATTAGTGTATAATATGCACAGAACATGAAAAATGATATTAATATTTTAAAATACCAAAAGACTAGACCAACACACTTACCAATCATTAATTTATTAGGCTAACTAAACATAACTAACTTAGCCTACACAAAATGATCAAGGCAATTAATTGAACTTGCTTAGGCTACAAATAAGAGTAATATGAAGAACTTTTGTCGTTTTACCTCAACTAACTTACAAAAAAATATTTTAAAATACCTAGTAATTTACAGAGTTCAGAAATCTGTACGGCAGGACATGGCCGTAAACATTTGATTATATGTGAGATAAGCAAGTAAATTGAAGGCACAGTTATTTGCTGTACCTTACAAGAACCAAGAGAGCAATATTTGATGATTGAAGCTTGGTTAAATTATCTCATCAATGTGAACCATTGCATATCCTGCATATGAAACTGTTTTGTCTATAGTTTATTTCAGAGGCTGTTTTAATGTACTAGTTCCCGTTTGGCTTAGGAGTGATTTTCATTACATCAATGTTCAACCAAGTTAATTAGGAACACTTGAGAGGGACTAGTGGTGTCGTATCCTGATAGCTGATGTGAAGAGAAGGTGTGTTCCCTCCAGGCTTGAAAGCTGTGTTCTTTGTTCAGTCACAACTATATCTCTAGTTTGGCATGCACAGGGGAGCAAGAAACATGGTGAGGCCCTGTGGGGGGTTTCACTAATGACAAGGTAAGGTGGTAAGGCTCAATATCAAATGATGAGCCAACACTAGACGACAATAAGCTGTATTGGACAAATTTAGGAACAATACACAATCAATCTTTGCTATCTCTCGGGGATAATCTGTTAAATACTAAGTAGAATGTTAGATTTACAAGTATTGTCTCTCCAGCACAGCACACTGACTTTCGTCTGTAGGCCAAGCTGTCTAACGTATTTCTCCTTGACCAGGGGACATCAAGGCAAATCAGGTTTTGATTCCTGCCTCAATTGGGTCTGGTATGAAACTAAAGGGCCTACCTCTTATTGTATACTAAGTCATTGTGTGATTGTGTAACTTAGGCCCTATGCCTATACGCTATAGCCTAGGCCCTACGTTTTTCAAAAATTAAAATAACCTAGAGACATGGCGGAATAGGTTTTCTCACTATTAAAAAAATTAACCTAACACAATGCAATCTTGTCATTTTTACTTGAATTGGATAAGGATTTGTGATTTATTAAATCATCGTTTTATTCCTAACCTAAGCTCGAACAGTAAAAGATAATTTTGTATTTTTAATATTACTAAAATGTTAACAAGAAGTAAACACTGCTATAATTTTTAAGTTAAATTATTTTATATTGAAAAGTTTACTTACTTTTACTAATTAAATGTTTCTAAATATGAAAAAATGCATGTAAGTAAACAATCTTTTAAAGGTTAGCTTTGTTGTGTTTGAGTTTGGAAAAAATCGGCAGGAGTTTTCGATGTTTTTCCTCCTCAGTGCAGCATTGGTGGTGGCTTGGTTTTATTCCATGTGGTTCTGAAGTTTGTCAACAGTATTACTCGTGCTACAGTTTCAGAATTTATTTATCTATTATACATTCAGGCATAGATAAAACATACTTCAGGGCAAAGCGATTAGATTTAAGAAAATGATTCAACAAAAAATCTAATTTCTTATAAAAAAATAGGATAACAACATAACAATCAATAAGCACACAAGAATCAACAAGCAATAATTAATCTAATAATCATCAACATTCATAATAATCGTCAAAAAATGTGTCTGTACAAAATATAATAACAAAATAATATGTAATATAATCTAATCGTGATATACTAATTGACAGATCACTGATTTACCCAGGACAGAGAGGAACTTCCTTCGAGCCAGTTTGTAGCCGCCAAAGAGAGGTCGACATCGCTAGACATCGTGTTTTCCAAACGAAGAACTCTTGCGAGTGAACTGTTGGCGTCATAAGATGTCGATTTGAAGCACTGGCCAAAATATGCTCTAGATCAAGATCCTTCAGAAATCCTGATATCTATATCCCGAAAAGTTCTGGATAGCTGAGGACGCCATCCAGAAACTTGTGTAGAATATATAGGTTGGCAACATCTTTACAAAGTGGATGCAACATATCTAATTACTGTCAAAACTGGGATTGTAATTGATGCAATCCCAACACCATATACACAATCAGCCATGGATGCGTCTCGATAGAGGTAGGTAGCCACTTCTAACACAAAACAAACGAAGAAATCGTTTCTGTATGGCAAAAAGATGCCATGGGATTATCATGAAACATCATGTCCAGGTTGCTGAGTGAGGGTGGCTGGAGAGGCTTCGACTCACATCGACTTCTTCGGGCTTTCTTCTTCCTCAAGATTCAAGATTTATTGAGCCGTTCGGTTTATAACAATTGGCCAAGTCACTAACACTAAACTAAAATACAAAACAGAGATGCATTCCTCTTGATTTACAAAACAAAATGTCCAAAGAGCACATACAAATGTCCAAAGAGCACACCATGCATAATAGATAAATAAATAAAAAAAACTGCAAAACAAAACTGTAAAACAAGCAGCGGAGAGAAAAAAAATATAAAAATTAACAAAGCAGAGAAAAAGCAAAACGGAAAACTTAAAACCCACACTCATACCTGTAGGCAAGGTTTAGGTAATATAAATATATGTATGTATTTTTGTTTTCTTTATTTCTTTCTAATTCATTGTGTGGGTATCTGAATTCCAAAACTCCTGCAAGGAGTAAAATGGGTTTGCCACCAACCAATCTTTAACACACCTAGCAAAAGCTTTTGCAGGTTTCCTTCTTACTTGCAGAGGTATGGTGTTAAAAAAGGCTATACCTGCAACAGGAAAATAATTCAAAGTTTTGGTTAGCCTAACCCTATGTCTATGTACATTAGAAGAGCTCCTGGTTGCATGGCTATGTACACTACTGTTCAGACACATTGTGTCTTTCTGAGCCTTAATTTCTAATAAACATTGATAAATATATACATTATGTACAGACATTATACAGTTTTCAATTAACAAGGGTTTGCAATTCGCAAGCTGCTGGGCTCCGCAGAGGACTCTGACAGCTGTTTTTTGCAAAAGCAGAACTTTTTCTACAGCAGGCGCATGTCCCCAGAGTCTATTGCCATACTGTAGGTGGGATTGGAAAAAGGCCATATAAGCGAGACATACAAACTCCTGGGGCATGTCAGCTTTTAGACGTCGGAGTAGGTATATTACTCTACTAAGTTTGTTACAAATTTGTTCGATATGGCACTTTCAAGAGGCACACCTTAAGATACTCATTCGAGTCGAGGGAACGTCTTAGAAACATTTTCCAGTATATTCAACGGCATTTCAGACAGGACTGCGACACTTCATGGCCCATCATTATTAGCCAGCCCAGTTGCAGACGATAAGTTAGTTTTCGTTGTTATCCATACATATTTTTTCCTTGTCAGTTGTTACTGTCAGTGTCAGTCAGTTGCAGTTCTCTTGTGCTGTCTGCTATTTGCTGAAGCTGAACACTGAGTGAGTGCTGCTACTCGTATTTCTATAATCAAAATTAGCTAACAAAACTATTAATTTATTTCATTCTACATGAAGTAATAATGTAGGGTTCAGTATTTATATATTTAACTCACTTAAGTTTTACGAAATTTTTGTCATTCCATTGTAAAAGTGTTTACCCTAAATCATAATGACTCAGGAACTATCAGGAGTTACTGTAGTCTTTATAGTGTCCAGTGGAATTTTGACTTTTATATTACTTTTTATTTTCGCCAAGAGACAGATCATGAGATTTGCCCTTAGATCTCGCCGAGGACCTCATGTTCCAATTGGTCACGGAGCAAAGAAGGTAGGATAAGTTGACATTTTAAAGTATTTTAAGGTTCCAGCCATATTGGCTATAAGTTTATCAGTACACCTAATATTAATTTTTGGTACAGTTTCACTGGGCTATGCTCTTTATCGATAGGAACTATCGAATTGAAAATATTGATTAGGCCTAATAATTGATATTTTTAAATACATCTATTATAAAATTAAACTATCATAACCTAATCTAACCAACCAAACTTGCTGATGGTGAAAAAATCGCATGAAGGTTTACTAATCGAATCGATAGTTTCAATAGATATTAGCATCGCCCAGTTAAGGAACTGTACCCTTAATTTTAACAGGTGGAACTTTTTCTACTCCACAGTCTTCGAGGAGGTATCCGTCTGAATCCTGATATGTCTCATTCTAATGCTTACCCAGTACCTGTTTACTTATTAGAAAGAGGTGGGGTTGGGTGTGTTGTTAGCCAAGTTGTCTCGCATTTCAATGTAATAGTGACAGGTTTGCTTCTGAGCATTTAACTTGAATGATTTCCTCTTAACACATTGAGGAAAACACATTGACGACAATAATACGGGAAAAAAAAGTAACTTAGATCAATCAAAAACTCAATGACAAACGGTAACTTAACTGCGCCATAAAAAGAGCAAAGAATGTAATTTAAGAAAGTTATAATGTTGATGTCATAGAATAGTTAAAAAGGTTTTTTAGAACTTATTAGGCCACTTGAGGGGTGGTAAACAAGAAGTGGTATCTTTCATCTTGCCCAAAGGGCTGCTAGAAGTTTCTAGCACTACTTTGGGGTTATCAAATTTCAAATTAAAATTAAAATTTGTTTATTCAGCTAAAAATTAACAAAACAAATGCAATAGCCAAGTCAGAAAAAAAGTTAAAGTCATCTTAGGCTACTTAAACTATATATAGGCCTATGCAAATAAGCTTGCCATCTATTTACAAGAGCAAATTGAGCTTATTTTCCTCTATTACAGGTTGAAAAAAACTCCTTGACGCTGTAACATGAGAAATTAATGAGATCATCTTTCAAACGTTTTCTAAACTTTGAATGGTTCCAACTTCAGGGACCAGTATAGATTATTGTGTAGTTTAATACCGTTATAGAGCGTAGCCTATGCTTTTTGAAGAAGGAGGTTGCATATTTCGGAACAGGTAAATCATGTGAATTTCGCAAAGGACAGGCTGAAGATTTATCTGAGACTACAAATAAAGACAAATTTTGTTTGACAAAAGTTGACTTTTGCAGGATATTTAAACTGGGGAAAGTTAGAATTTTATATTTATTGAAGTAATACATAGTTCACTGCCCAACAACCAATCTTGTAGAGACTTCAAGAAATATAAAATTTTAACTTTCCCCAGTTAAAGATCTCATTAAAAGATCTCGTTAGAAGAGTTAAGATCATTTTTATTGTATTGAGTATCCTACAAACGTTAACTTTTGTCAAACAAAATTTGTCTTTATTATCTCCCCTAGGATATTAATGTCCATAGGCCTACCTAAATCTACTTTTGTACAGCTAGTTTTATTAATTTAAATTGTAAATACAGTTACGTTTTTTACAGTCTCTTAAGAAGGAAATTCATCGCAGGATTGATGCGATCCCCAAGATTGTATATGAACCGAGAATGATAAGTGAAAGTGACTCTCAGTACATTATGCCTCCAGACAATCATCTGCCTCCTTTCTACTGCAGACTCAAAGCAATGGACGACGTAAAACTACTTGGTAGGCCTAAATATATATTATTTTTAGGCTAGATTTTTTTTTATTTATTCATCAGCTGTGGCCTGAATTTAAATTTTAATTGATGATGCTATGCATTTGTAACCCTAGCCCCATCATCTACTGTAGGAATCTTTTTACAGGAGAAAATGAGTAAATGGTATTTTAAGAAAATGTTGTGTAGTAGGATAAAGCCACGTGGGATTATTTAAAGACTTTTACGTTCAAGAGAACTTTGCTTACCCGTGATAAAGGTTGTTGACAAGCTAATGGGAGAAAGTATGTGTCAGATTGCTGATACCATTTATTTTTGTTTGTTTTTTCAGTTCTACATACATTTTTCAACAGAGGGAATTAAAGAGACCACAGTTCAAATGATTACTTTGGCAAATACAAAATGTTTTAATATCAATAGGCTATACACAAAACCATTTACAACAATCAACTCATCACCAACTCCTTCAACCATCAGTTTCCTTCCTGAGTGTTCAAGGAATATCGATATTTCCAGAACAAGAAATAACCAAGCAGGACCCATGTCTACATCGGCACCCGACAGAGAACTTACGAGCCTACCTGCTGATGACTCTGGCCGCCCCACTCAACGGTTTGGGTCAGAGGATGGTGCACCAGTTCTGCGACTTGTACGAACACGCCAGACACGACCCCAGCGAGTTTGGTGACGAAGAGTATCAAGTCTTCCACCGATTGCTGCTCAAACTAATTGATGCGTAAGTATGTGACTTGTAATGTTTGATGTTCATTTTTGATGGTGGTTGGGAAGTTTTTGACCTTTTCCATCATAATTTTAGTTCTGTTGAGCCACCATCTGGAAGATGGGTACATTTGTGTGCTCACATTTGTGTGCTCCTACCTTACATTCGTAATATTGTGTTTTTTACAGATTAGTTTCTTGTTTTGACTGCTATTCAATTGTCCTTTTGGTTTTTTGTGGGTTTGGTTGGCATGATTTTCTGTAGCAACTTCGTTTTAGGTGCAGGAACGATATTGGTTGATGAGGCAAGTTGCACTGTGTCCTTTAAACCTCAGCCTTTGTTTAGCCTACTTTTTTAAAGCAGTTTAAGAGAATTTTAAACATCAGGTATTTGATAAACTGTACGCCATACTGCCTGTGAGCTCTATATTAAGCATATCTCTTTGGCGTCTGCCTCTTACCAAGGGTGTTTTCGCTTACCTGAGTTATATTCATGCAGCTACTGTAGTTCAACAGTCGATGGCCTTTAGTCCCCTTATACTGTCCACGCTTTAACATCTTTTATGACCACTAAAGATCCTAAAGCAAAACAAAAAGTTATTATGTAACAGAAGAATCGCCTTTCTTCAGCCTAATTAGTCGTGGACATTATCATCTTAAACATAATATTAAAACAGAATAATTCCTATCCTACCAAACTTAGTACATGTGATGCTTTTTGTCCTCAAGACAGTATGAAAATAAACATATTTAATATGTTTATTTTATAAACATATTAAATATGTTTATTTTCAAATTTTGACTTCAAAAGCATGGTAGACATTCACAGTGCCCTCTGAATTAACGAACCTCGGTGTAAGGGGGTCCTTGATAGTTTTTTTTCAAATCTCCTAGAACTGTTCGTAAGTAGCCTATTTCACCATAATTTTATTGTATGCAGGGCGAGGCTGTTGAAATCGTATTCTAACAGCAGAAAGTCGAGTCCCAACCGAACTCCGCTCAAGAAGAGCCAAGATAAATGCCGTCAGTTGTTGGAGGCCAAGCTGAAGGAGAAACGGGACGAAGATTCTCCTCCAGTCCCCCCTCCACCTGACAACAATGAGACTTCCGTGTGACACATAGGGACAACATAGACAGTGTATAACCTAATAGTAACGGTACGTTGTTGGACAATGTTTAAGCATTTGATGTATTCAACAACCTGTATATTAAGCCTGTGATGACTTTGGGTTTAACTTTTCATTACATCTAAATCTGAATATATTCTTTTGTAAGGAGTCTTATTCAATCACAGTAGAAAAAATGCAATTCATAACTTAGCCTGTGCTGAATCAACAAAACTACTGGAGTACTTAGTGCTGTATAAAATAGCGTTTGATTGAATAAGGAGAAAAAAAGCTAAAATAGAGTCTTAAGAGGGATACAAATAGACATTAGGCTATATTTCAGTGTTATATTAACAAACAAACCAAAAAATATTTTATATAACCCGAAATGGTTGACAACATACCTGCAATATTTTCACTAAAGAGCAGTATTGAGAGCTTGTCGAACAGGGTGCGGCAAAAAAACTATCTATTTTATGCAGCACACTGTTCAGCGACAGGTCATTCTTTTAATTAGGGCGACGTGGGTTCCTTCAAGTAGCACAATCATGTGTTGGTTTACCAAAATTAGAACAACGGCTTCTGCGTTCAAAAAGAAACTGACAAGCCGTCCAAAGAAGATCGGATGGCAGACAACTAACATTCGATAGAGTTAGTGCTGCTGTGGAAAACAGTCCATGTAGGCCCACCCGGAAACAAGCATCTGCTTTGAACATGTCTGACCGCTCGGTTACACTAATTTTGAGGTTGGATCTTAATTATTTTCCCTACGGATTAATTTGTTTAATTTTGTTGATTGTCCATGCATATAATCACGATGGAACCTCTCCATGTCGACCTAATTGAAAATATTCATGGAAATTCCGCTGAGTTGCAATGACTGAATCATTACGTTTTAAAACAACTCGATAATAAATGTGCGTTGATCAGGTCACCATTGCTCTATGACTACAGATAATGGTATCCTGTAGGCTTTCCAATGAGCCTATCCCCACCACCCTCAGACAACTTGTTGCTGAACAATGCCCGGCAGAAAATAGATCGGTTTTATTGCCTCACCCTGTATAAAGTAGATTCGTCATGTACATGCTGCATATCTGGTTAGTCTTATTCTGCCTCAAACTTTGATTCAACTTGATTTAATTCCTTGGCCAAACACACTCGGATTCAATTTTGGTAAATGACAAATTTCTCTTTTCCTTGATACGTCATATCATTTGTCTTTACAACTTTTGCATTGCTTATTTCTCTCATTAGTTTTGACATATCTGATTGACTTTTGGTTTACACTTATTTGACCAAAAAAATATAATCAAGACTATTGTTTTCAATTATATTTCAAGTTCCTTGAAGAATTGTTTCACTCAAACACAAACTACCTGAGCCAAGTTAACATGTTAGTTGCTCTCTATTATTGCCTGCCATTTGAATCAGCTTTTATTTGAAATAATAGGGTCATTTGGTTTTCATTCCAGTATTTAGGATTATGTGTAATATTTGTAAATAATTTGTAGTGTACAATTTATGATGATAACTGGATTACTCTATTCTGTATATATTTATTGCTATACATCTTCATAATAGGCGACCTATCTACACTTTGTAAATATTATATGTAGCATAATAATGGCCATTTTTTTTAAATTCTGTAATTATAAAACTTACCATATTTAATCTTACGACGATGCTGATGAGGAGGAGTCTGACCTCCTGGTAGAGATGATGGACCTCATCAATAATATGGAGGGAACCTTGAAGCTCCGGACCAACGTAAACCGGTCAATCAAGGACGGTCTCCCAAAGGTGAAGGATCGGGTTGCCCGAGTTCTCGAAATTAAAGGCTTGATGAGACAGGCTTTAGTTAATGAACGGGAGCTTGTGAACCAAGTTTTAGCCCCTAAACTGAACGACAAGGGCGGGAATCAAAGGAAACGGGCAAGGAGCTCACCAGCGGAGAGCCCCGATCTTCCTGAATTGGCCAATCAGCCTCTGTCAGATGTTGAGCAGAAGGTCGAGGACAGGGCCACCCAGATGACACCCCCTACTGAGCACACTCCAGCTCTAAAGAAGCGCCCTCAGCAGACCAGGGAGCTTGCCTCTCTCCCAACGGTTGACGGAAGCAGCTCTATGAACTCTGCTGTGGCACCATCAAATGTGGGTAACTGGGAGAAGAGGCTTTCCCGCAAAGAAAAGAGGAAATTGAGACGAATGGAGGCTGTCTCTAACAAAGAACCTGCAGCAAGAGATCGAAAGATTGCTGATCCTGCTCCGGCGAGGGAGGTTCGTGGAAAGGCCCCCCCTGTTTCAAAGAAACCCAGGCCGAGAAAGCCCAGGGCTGAGGCAATCCTGATCAACCCCTTAGGGGGGCGCTCTTTTGCTGAAGTCTTGGGTCGACTCAAGTCTAAGGCCAAGCCAGAGGAGACGGATACGATTGTTAAGTCAATCAGGTGTACCCAGAATGGGAAAGTTCTCCTCGAGCTGGGGAAATCTGGTGACCGAGTGGCTTTTGCTGCAAAGGTCAGAGAGGCTCTGGGGGACCACGGTACTGTTCGGGAACTCGAGCCTAGGACCTCGGTGGAGATCCGGGACCTTGACGGTCTTTCGACTGAGGCTGAAGTCAGGGAGGCTATCAACAAGGCCATCCCTGATATCCAAAATGCCGACTCCCTTAAAGTATGGCTTACGCGGCCCAACCGCAGCGAGCAACGCATAGCTATCGCTGAAATGCGAAACCAAGATGCCAGCAAGCTGCTTAATCTCACACACCTGAGAATTGGATGGGTCAATTGCAGGCTCAGACGGAGGGTGGTTGTACCGCGATGCTTTCGCTGCCTCGGGTTTGGTCACTCTTCCCGAAACTGTAAAGGACCCGACCTATCCAAGAATTGTTTCAGGTGTGGCGGCTCGGGCCACAACAGGAAGAACTGTACCGCAGCAGAGCGTTGTTTTCTCTGCGCAGAGAAAGGCCAAAAGGACGCCTCATTAGGTCACATTCCAGGGGCTGGGCGATGCAGTGTTTTCAAGGCTGCACTCGACCTTGAGAAGGCTAGGTCTGGGAAGTGAGGATTCTCCAGGGTAACCTTGAGAGGTCCAGAACGGCTGACTCCCTCTTAGATCAGCTGGCCCAAGAGATCGGTGCGGACACCCTTCTGATCAGCGAGCAGTACCGTGACAGGGACCCACACTTCTGGTTCCCAGATTCTCTTGGTACTGCCGCTTGTTGGGTTCGAAACAGCACGGAAGCACCAGTGCGAGATCACGGACGCGGCCGAGGCTTCGTTTGGGTCAGGTGTAGGGACGTCACGTTTTTTAGTGTCTACCTTACCCCCAACGAGCCAATTCGGGAATTCCGTCTGAAGATTGACCGCTTAGAAGACAGTGTACGGGGTACCGTTGGGCATGTCGTTGTTGCTGGTGATTTTAATGCGAGGGCTGTGGAGTGGGGTATGACCTCTACAAACTCCCGGGGGAAATACATCCTGGACTTTGCCGCCAGGGCCGGACTTGTCGTCTTAAACGAGGGCGACACGCCTACTTTCCGGCGCCCCGGCATGAGAGGTACGATCCCCGATATCTCCTTCTCGTCGGAATCACTACTAGCACGGATCTCCAACTGGAGAGTCATCGAAGACCTCACGGCAAGTGATCATCAGTACATCGTTTTTGATATACTGGATGAACATCATAATCAGGCGCCTGTATCACGATCTGGACCACGCCGATGGAATACGGACAAGCTGGATGTTGAGAAGTTCACTGACGTAATCTCACGGGGAGCGCTGGTGAATTCTGCTGCACCTGTTGACGCCGAGGCATTGGTAACGTCCACGATGGAACTGATTGTCTCGGCTTGTGACCAGGCCACGCCACGCAGGGGACGCCGTCGCGATAAGCAAGCTGTGTACTGGTGGACTTTAGAGATCTCGAACCTTCGGAAAGCTTGTCTGAAAGCCAGACGTGCCGCTATGAGGGCCAGAAGATTCCCGGATTTCGAGGCTAAGTCAGCGGCTTATAGGGCTGCGAAGAAAGCTCTTCGTCGGGCTATCATCAGGAGCAAGGTTAGCTGTTGGAGGAGGCTTCAGGAGGATGTTGACTCTGATCCTTGGGGACTGGGCTACAAGGTTGTAACCCAGAAACTCGGCGCCCGATCACCACCTTCCGTCATGGAGGGCACCACCATGGACAGGATCGTCACCGCCCTTTTCCCGTCTCATCCTCGGCGGCCTTTTTTCGACTATGGCGAGGTAGGGGACATTCCACTCTTTAGCATTAAAGAGCTGGAATCATCTGTCCTCTCCCTGAAAAATAGAAAGGCACCTGGTCCTGATGGTATTCCCAGTGAGGCTCTCAAGAAGGTATTCTCGGTTAACCCCCTCTTACTGCTGAGAATGTACAACACATGCCTGTGCGAAGGGGTTTTCCCAACTCCTTGGAAAAGGGCTAGGCTTGTGCTAATCAGCAAGGGGAAAGGTGACCCGAATATGCCGTCGTCTTATAGACCCCTCTGTATGTTGGATGTGGCCGGAAAACTCTTCGAGAAACTGATCCGCTGCCGCCTGACGTCTGCCGTGGAAGCTGCCGGAGATTTGTCTCCTCGTCAGTACGGCTTCAGAAAGGGTCGGTCAACAATCGACGCGATATCCGAGGTACACAGAGCGGTAGAGCGTGCCGAGAGCTTCAATCATTACTCTCGCCGTATCGTGCTTCTTGTTACGCTAGATGTCAAGAATGCTTTTAACTCGGCGAGATGGGTCGATATGTTGAGCGCGTTGAGGAATAGCTTCCGCGTACCAGCATATCTGTTGAGGCTGATCGAGGACTACCTGCGCTGCAGAACTCTTAATTACGAAACTAAAGATGGTTCGCGGACGATGGATGTTACTTCCGGTGCCGCGCAAGGTTCGATACTCGGCCCAGATTTGTGGAACGCTGCCTACGACAGCCTTCTGAGATCTGAGATGCCAGAGGAGACCGTTTTAGTTGGGTACGCCGATGACGTCGCAGCCCTCATTGCTGCACGCAACGTTGAGCTAGCCCAACTGAAACTGAACCAAGTCATGCGCGTTGTAAACGCCTGGATGACTGATCATGGTCTGACACTCGCTCTGAGCAAGACAGAGATCGTCATCCTCACGAAAAAACGGATTGAAACCATCGTTCCGCTACGAGTTGGGAACGTAGTTGTCCAAACCACGCGAACCGCCAAGTACCTTGGTGTCATGGTGGACAACAAGCTGAGCTGGAGGGACCAGATCTTCCGTACGGCGGACAAGGCTGCTAGGAGTGTTGCTGCTCTTAGTAGGCTTATGGCCAATGTCGGTGGTCCCCGGTCCAGCCGTAGAAGACTACTGATGTCTGCAGTCCAGTCCGTGCTTCTCTACGGCTCTGAGGTGTGGGCAGACGCGCTTAACAAGGAGGCGTATAGGTTGAGGCTCGCACGAGTGCAGCGTCAGGCGGCACTCAGGGTCGCTTCCGCGTACCGTACGGTGTCCGAACCGGCCGTTTTGGTGATCGCTGGAGTTATCCCAGTCAAACTCTTGGCAGCGGAGAGGAAGGCAATCTACCAGAGACAAGGCTACATTGGAAAGGACGCTGCAAGAACAGAAGAGCGCTCCCGCACTTTTCAGATGTGGCAAGAAAGCTGGGAAAGGGAGACTCGAGGACGTTGGACTGCCAGACTCATCAGGCAGGTCCAACCGTGGGTAGAACGGCGGCACGGTGAGGTTGACTATTACCTCACGCAGTTCTTGTCAGGTCACGGCTATTTTCAGTCGTACCTGCACTTGATGGCCAAAACGAATTCACCTGACTGCATTTACTGCCCATGCATTCCCGACGACGCGGAACACACTTTTTTCCACTGTCCACAATGGGATATGCTTCGCCAGGAGGCCATTCAACATCTTGGGGTGCTGTCGATTGAATCGATCTGTGAGACCTTGCTGAAGGGTGAGGACAACTGGGACTGCTGGTCGCACTTTGTCCGGAATGTCCTTCAAGCTAAAAAGAATGATCTAGATCGGAACATAGTCTAGATTTGATAAGAAATAAACGGCTAGACACGGCGTAAGCCCCTCGGGCGTAGGCAAACTCGGCCTAGTTCTGATGAAGTGCGACAAGTGTTCCCAGGCTAGTGTCCGAAGAGTAGAGGAGGTTTTTAGTGGGTAGTCTCTGGGCCTTAAGCCCGTTGGAGTCCCACACTACAGGCTAGCAACCTGTGTGCATAAATGCATTTTCCCACCTCTCCCTAAAAAAAAAAAAAAAAAAAAAAAAAAATCTTACAGGAAGCTTCTGTGTAGGAAAGTTGTAGTATAATGGCTAAATAGCTTCACTCAGTGTAAATAATTCTGTACATTTATTGAATCCACAAACAACTTTTGTGCTAAGTGTTGTTATGCGTTTGTGTTATCGAATGTAAATATTGTATATAAATTATATTGTTTTAACTATTTTATGATTCTATAATAAATATGTTTGTATTCACTAAAACGTGATGATTTGAATTTAAACCTGCACAAAATCATTTGTGACATGACATTAACGATTTTGATTGGAATTTAGTACCTTATAGTCCTTTTAACTTAAAGAAAATTGCACAACCCCAACGCTGTAAAAATTGCAGTATTGAACATTTTTACATTTTCTGCATAATAAACCATACATTTTGGAGAAAGTATGTGTCCGTTTGCTGACACTGTTTATTGATAAGGTATAAGGTTGAATAGAACTCGTATATGTTTTAACAAATCATTTATTTACAGGGTAAATAAAGTCTTACCTTTATGTTGTTAAATCTATGTACATAATTACATTTTTAATCTCTCTTATAAACAATATGAACACAAGTCTTGTCTAAATTCTACAACACACAGAACACAATTAATGGTAAAATAGGTGAAGTTGAATACATTTTCTACATTTTACTTAAGTTTTTTAGTAGCCATGTTAAAAATGATTGATTTGTAACATCGAAGTTCCTTGTGGAATTACTTATTAGAATTTTCAGTTTGTTTTACACTTTTTATATTTTGCTACAATATTGTTTGATGATTTTCATCGGTTCTTTAATGGTACTTGGAAGTTATTTTACAAACCATATTTTATCTACTAAAACAATTAAAGTATTTTTTCTATGTATTAAAAAAATAATAATCCACCTTAAATTAAACTGGTTTTTAGACTTTAAAACTGTAAAGAAACTTTAGTATTGTTTAGCAGTTTATGCTAATATTTTTAATTTGTATAATATAGGTAGGCCAATACATCTTTAATTGCAATTTTAAGATTTAACATCTAAAATCCATAACTATTACATTGTGAATTACAAAATATCAGAATTGGAAAATCTTTAAATGATAAATCATTTTCTCAATAATAGTGTAGACAGTAATGACAATTTTACTTTTAAAATTCATTGATTAGTATGGTAACTTTAATTACAATGAAAGCTAACTAGTTCTAACCAATGAAGGTGTTACGTACCTTATTTGATAACATTTTACAGTTATATTCTTACCATTTATTACTCTTTATATACATCTTATTACATAAAATACAGGTTTATTGTACATAAAACTATGTTAGATCACAGCATAACGTGTTATACAATGTTTATATTACATTGCATTCTATAAATACTATTTACACTTTATATTTATTTATGGAATGAGTAAACATTTTTGAACACTTATAGAATTATCCATTCAAAAGGAAATGATTTTATCAAATAAACTTTGCACACAGTTTTCCTTTAGATTTTTTGATTAAGTTATTTTTTATTCAAACATGAACCAAAATACATTCAGCTATATCTTTTACCATTTAGTTATTAATCAAGCTAAGTTCAATATTTAGGTAATTATTAGTGTTTTTTCATTAAATCAATACTCATAATGTCAACATTGTTTTTGCAACAGAAACTGAGAAAGAAATTATGATTTAGCTGTCAACAGTTATTCTCCATTAAAATAAATTACTGTTTATAAAATCAACATTGATGAACAGTGGAAAAGACTAGTAAAATTAATTTTAACTAGACTATTTTTTCCGGAATAGTCACTTGTACCATTAAATGATAAGATATAGTTTTAACAAATAGGCTACTGGTATATTTTACGTAATCAATGTTGAAAATGAAATCATATTTCTAGATAAACTTTCTATACCACCTAACTTTCGCAGGATTTGTGTATTCTCTGGGGTAAAAGCAGGAGTAGATTTTACTAAACATTAGATGATTCAAGTTTATAAAACTAAAAGATAACAACTAGCGATGTTTCTAACATGAAGTTGACTGAAGATCGGTCCTAATTCTCCTGATGTAAACAGAAGCTCTTGAAATTTTATGACACAGTCTCTGGCCATCTATAAACAATACAATATTCTTCATTTATTTCAAAGGCTCGATTGATTTTTGAACACAACAATCAAAACACCATGCAAAATCATTTTTCCAAAACCACACAGTTACTTGAATACCTCTTACAAAATACATTCATGCACGTAGTAAGAATTTTGTATTTAGAAAAAAATTCAACTTTTGAGTTTTGAGCATGCATAACTAATTACGATAACACACTTTTTAAAATGTAATTTAGACTAATTGATTGGTTGTTAAATATCAACAAAAGTTTGTTACGTGATGCAGTACATGTTTGGATTTTTTAAAACTTTTGTTGACTTTAAAATAGCTTTAATATGATAAGCTTCGATTAATTAGTAAAAGACACTGTATTAATTTTATTATTGAAGTCCAAATATGTTATCCGGAAGCGGTTTATTGATGTTATAGTTGAGTAGTAGCTTGCAATTTGACGTACCTCGCGTGCTGGTCCTCGGTTTGGGCCACAGGGAGGAAACACTGATGGTTTTTCGGCCTCTTGAGGATTTTTCGCACAGAGTGGTAGACGGCAAGGATCAACACCATGCTGAGGAGGAACAAAAGTCCTGTGAGAACGAGATTCAGCGTCGTGTTGGCGTGAGCTGTCGCCGGCTGAGACACTGTGAGACACCGGGTCTTGGGTTCCGTGGGAGGAAAGTCCCCGAGGGTGGCACAGACTTGGTACGGCCCCTGAGGTAGACCGTGGATCACGGCCCAGGGAAGTGAGCAGTTGAGATGCCTCTGAGCCACAAGAGTCCCGGACACAAACACAGTGATGGTGAGCAAACAGTGAGCGTCCGATTTGTCCTTCCAGATGTGAGTGGAGACCATCAAACTGCCCATGTCAGTTAGGTTAGCTTCCAGTGAGGTTATGTACGACTTTGTCTTTGCTACAGGATTCGTCTTCACTGTCGGAAGCAAAGGAATGATTTCACTACAGCCGAGCACCAAGGCTGATTCGTCGTTGCCGCCCCCTTCGAGTAAAACAACGCAATACCTGTAGCGATGACCCAACTGTAAATCTGACGCAGAGAGAGTGATGGAGAGAGTCTTGGGATCGACTAGTTGAGAAGAATCGCACTTCAGTGGGTTCGATTCCAAAAGAATCTCGTGTAAACCGAGTTCTTCGTAGATGAATAACGCGTCGCAAGAATACGTAAGCGCACTTGCTTCTACACTCCACAGTAATGACACTTTTGAACCGTCGAATTGGAAGCCTCGAAGGGCCACACGAGTTCCTGACACGGGCATCGGCGTGCCTAAGGGAGTTTCGGACGGGATTGGTGATTCCTCTTGTCCGCCGCACACTAGCTCGCTGGCTGACAACTCTTCGACAAGTCCATTCTCGAGCGAGGGAGGAGTCGCACACACAGATGTCGCTTTGTCAGCTGTTGACAATGTCGAGGAATTTCTCAGCCATGAAGCGAACTGAGAGAGGTTGCAGTCACAGTTCAGAGGGTTCTCTGAAAATAGAAGCAATACATTTAAGTATGCACTTTTTGGAATTGTGGTTTCCATGAAGGAATTAGTTAAAAACCTATTCTTGTTTTTTTAATGCACACACTCATGATCAAATTATTCCTTAAAAGCCCATCAAGTAAATTTTCAAGCGGATGAGCTTTGGAATTCTATCTTCAAATCAATCAAGTAGAGATTACCCATTCTATCTAAACATTTGTGAAATCAACTATAGGAAAAAAATGTATTAGTTTCTTATACTGATTTTACTTCAATAATATAATTATATGAATTATCATTTCTCTCACTAAATTGATCACACATCCTTATTACAATTGTTTATTAATTTATGTATCCTGTGTTTTTACTAACTTCTCAGCCAGATCTTTTATGTTTACCTGAAAGTGTGAACCTCTTTAGTCTGATGTTGAAGGAGAACGCGTCTGTAGCAACCATTGAGATATCGTTGTCGTCGAGTCTGAGCTCGGTCAAGTTGCGTAGAGGTTGGGTCAAATCAGAGGTGATGGCTCGTAGGAAGTTGTGGGCAATGTCGAGTTTTTTTAGGCCTGCCAAATGGGCAAGAGATGCCCCTGACACAGCAACAATCCTGTGGAAAATAAATTTGTCAATACAAAACAAACAGCTGTTACAGTAGGATTAAATATTCTTTCTCTTGGGTGTGATTTTAGTGTAGTGGTTGGCGTCTCAGAGCTTTGTCCTAGAACAAGAGGGCCGGGATTTATTTCTGGCATTTCCAATAATATTTGAGGGGCAAGAGCTTCTTTTTCTAAAAGGGCTAGAGATTTTTTCATACAAAATACTATTGGCAAAAAGTACAAAAAAATAAAATAAAAACCGTTAATTAAAAATAAGTTTTAAAATAGGTATTTTTTTTAAACAAAATTATCAATTATTTAAAATAGGGACGCCCCTATGTGCGTATTTTAACCCAAATATGTGTGAAGGATGAGTGGCGCAATCTTGTAGTCTTGTTAGTGACTAAGGCCGACATGTTCCTTAGATGTTGATTAATACCAATAGTTTATAGTATAATCCAAACCACATTTTTCCTTGTAATTAAGGAATTGGTCTAATTATCAGGATAGTACTGGGGATAGTCGAAGTACTAACTAGTGCGAACGTTACCCACACCAGGGAGCATCGAATCCATGCTCATTAAGAAACATGAACAAAGACTATTATCATTTACTAACTCAATCTGCCCCTTAAGTGTAAATTATCTTTTATTTATACTCACAATGAGACCTAACTTACCGCAACATCTATAATTGATGCTGCAAACTGAATCCATGGTTATTCTGTAAAACGATCTTTCAAGAAGTTCTCGAGTTAGAGAAATTACTATCCAACCTGGTTAATCACTTCACTTAGACAGCGACGTAAATTTGTGTATACTATATAAATCCAGGGTGTAACGGAGTGAAATGATCTATGTAGCTTTGTCACTAACTAAGATAAGCTGTTTTTTTTAAATCCATAATTTTATCAAAAGTCCAATTATCAAGGACAGCTGGGTCCAGTTTCAAACTATCAAAAAGCTTCTGATATCTTTCAGGATTGAACCAACGACCTCTTGGTTACTAGGCAAGTACTACCATTTCAAGTACCCAGTAAAACCTTATCTGTCAAACAAACAATAAAGCAGCTATCCACTATCCAACCAATGTTTGTAAATGTTTGCTGGTTCTGAAACTCTTTATGTGACTTTATGTTGACTTTACTTCACCTGTTATGAGCAAGGTTGAGCTCTCCAAGTGTCGCGATGGCTCTGAAAGCGTGATCTTCTAATACATCTATCTGGTTGTGATGGAGGGAGAGAGAAGAGAGAGCATCCAGGCCTGCCAACGCACCTCGGGTCACACTGCTCAGCTGATTGTGAGCCAGCGACAGCACACTCAGGTTAGGCAACCTACGGACAAATTTTTCATAGAAATCTTCATATAAACATTTCAAATCGTTTCTTTACTGAGGCCCTACTGTTAGCTCCTTTCACACTATATGGTTTTTGATGTAGAAATAAAAACTGTTTAGGTTCATTTTTTTACTAGGGTAAAGATGAGCGAGCTTTCACACTAAACGGTTATGTCGACAGCAGAAACCCCTACCAGTGCCATGCAGTCTTGTAGCCATCCACTGCCACTGAACTGGGCGGTTTTTGCGCCATGGCCGACGGCCGTGCGTCAGTGGTGCCAGTTAAAAGCAAGCTTTCATAATGCACAGTTTTAAATCAAACGGGAGGCCGCCAGCCAGTAGAAATAGTTCAGCTGTTGCAACGTTCATTGTTTACAATCTGACCTGTTAATTGGACACTGCTTATGTTTATTGTGACATTGTAAGTTCATTCATCTCACCGTATGATCAGAAATGGTGCAATGAGAAAGAAATATATAAACAGTGTAAAATCGTGCTGTTTTCAACCTGACGGCGGAAGTGTGAAAGGAGCGTAAAACTTGTTTACCATTGACTTGTAGATACCGATATATATGGACCAGCTGTTGAATTGCTTATTGAAATGGAACATGGTTGAATTAAGCCACTAGATGATCAAGCTACACCAAAATTAAATTTTCTCCCTTACCTAATTTCAATTATTTTTACCGTCTATTCAACTATATCAATTTGAATTATAAAAGGGGTTACAGTTTTAACATGGGAAAGAGATTTTTACTCTATTATTAGTCACATTACTACACACTCAATACCTTGGTAGAGTGCTAGGCCCTAGGGGACCAGCGAGGGAGTTCCCGCTAAGATCGAGTTCCCGCAAACTCCGCAGTCCTTGCAGGCTGGCCACCACGGCCACCGTCAGTCTGTTGCCCTGCAGACGCAACGTATGAAGCAGCGGGAGAGGAACAAACGCGTCGGGAGAGATCCAGCTGATCAAGTTCTCGCTGAGGTCAAGAAATGTCAGACTCGTGAGATTCTGGAAACAATTAAGTATTTAGTTTTGGTCCCATGAAAAAATAAACTTTGTTCCTTTATCCCTTACATTACCAATCAACCTATCTATGATTATTGCCAAAGTTGCCAATTTCTATCAAGCTACCCTATCAAATATTGCTGAGTGGTTAATGATTAGTAGTACTTAAAAGGTTTTCGGTTGGATAGGTTTTCGGTTAGATTCTGAGAGAGGTCAGTAGCTTTTTGAAGGTTCAAAATTAAGCCCAGCTGTCCTTTTGGATTTTCTCTCACTCAATCAACACTAAGCTGGGTAACTATGACCTAGCTGCCCTCCTCCTCCTCCTCATCCTACTCCTCCTAGAGGAGGAGGAGATTTTTTGTTGGAAATATTCTTTTTATGAATTTTTCACCTCCCAGAAATAGAAATAGTATTTTTATTTTATGTATTGTATTTTAATTGACACTATTCACTTTACCACCTATGTACATAAATTATAATGAATACAGATGTTTGAATATGAATATGAACTGAGTGGATATATTGTTCCTCTAGTAATCTGAATGTAACTGGTTTTGTCCTGATAAAAGTCAGAAACTTGTTAATGGTTCTAACTGGACCCAGCTGTTCACTGACTGTTTTGGCTTTTTTAATTTGCCTGACTAAGAAACAGCTGGTCTTAGTCAGTAACTATACACATCTTTTTTTTAACTCAAATCTACACTTGGGAAACTAAGATTATCATGCCAACACTGAAACAGTTACTTTTGTAAACCTAAATATATTGTATGTAGGGAAACATAAATATTTTTGTATGAGCGTATGCTCACCTCGAAGGATATGTTGTGTATCCGATGTATCTTGTTGTGGGAAAGGTCTAGTCTCTCTAGGTGCAGAAGTCCACGGAAAGCTGACGTCGGGACAGAGTCTAACTGATTGTTGGGGAGGCCGAGTGCCTGCAGAGGTGTCGTCAAACCTGTGAACGCGTCAGGAGAAACATGTCGTAACTCTCCTGACGACACCACCAGACCGTGCAGACTTACGTTCTGCAAGAGATGAAAACAATTAGAAACTAGGACAGGAAAACAATTACGCAGACAGGAACAGTAAGGGAATACAGAGATAATGATTAAGGTATATTTGTGACTAAGTTATGTATCTTGACACAAAACCATCATGGAGGAGGGTATGTAAGTTTCTTTCAAAATCCTATCCAACTTAGCAACAAATGTATTTTAAAACACAAGGTGACTTGTTCGCTGTTTCCATCTTTTCTCTACTTCTCAGGAGACTTGGATTGTTAAACTGATGTTCACTCTACACTCTATGTGTTTTTTTATGTTGGGTGTTAATCAATTAAAGTCACAAACTTTTAAACAACTTAAAACTTTTGACACAGAGCGATAATCCGGAGCATACTACAGCATGAGTGTATTATGGACTATAAAATTCGTATTCTAATTGTGTGCATATCAGGACCAAACGACCAACCTTCATGAATACATTTGTTTCAATAAGCCTTCAAATAGTGAATTCTCTTGTTTGGATGCTTTTAGTTTGGACATAGGATGATTCAAGCTTTGGATAGTTGGAACGGTGATCTGCATATGACAGAGACAGACACATTCAGATTGTGCAATAATATATTGGAGCACACCCTCGATTTTTTACAGTGGACAATCTGAACAAAATCAAGTAGATTAAAGTCAAGGATCAGCTGATAGCGAAGTGTACGCTTACCTGAAGCAGAAGACCTGGCAGGAAGGAGACGTTCTGTACTGTACAGTCTAGCAAAGACACGGAGGCTGAGGGTGATAAGGAGCGTAGGGTTGCTGCAACGGTGGGCAATGCTTCACGTCCACCTGTAAACACAAAAGCTTCATTCAATAAAAGAATATTTTACACATTTCGTTATAGGCCTCCAAGGAAGAAAATAATTTACAAGAGGCGACAACTATTTTGATTTCTAGATTGGCATAGACATGTGATTCACCAATAACATTTGAAATAGATAGTTGCTGGCAGGTTTTTTACTTTTGTTAAATGAAAAAAAGTCATGATTTCTCAACAATTAATTTAGCTACTTGCCTGTACACCGGAGAGTGTGTGGCAGATCACAGGAACATGAGACGTTAGATATTTCAGGACATCTCCACTCTTCAGCTGTCACTGCTACTACCAGCAGGAGCCACCACATCCTGAAAACATACAGAGTCAGTTAGATCACAGGAACATGAGACGTTGGATATTTCAGGACATCTCCACTCTTCAGCTGTCACTGCTACGACCAGCAGGAGCCACCACATCCTGAAAACATACAGAGTCAGTCAGATCACAGGAACATGAGACATTGGATATTTCAGGACCTCTCCACTCTTCAGCTGTCACTGCTACGACCAGCAGGAGCCACCACATCCTGAAAACATACAGAGTCAGTTAGATCACAGGAACATGAGACGTTGGATATTTCAGGACATCTCCACTCTTCAGCTGTCACTGCTACTACCAGCAGGAGCCACCACATCCTGAAAACATACAGAGTCAGTCAGATCACAGGGACATGAGACGTTGGATATTTCAGGACCTCTCCACTCTTCAGCTGTCACTGCTACTACCAGCAGGAGCCACCACATCCTGAAAACATACAGATTCAGTCAAATCACAGGAACATGAGACAAATCCTGAAAACATACATAGTCAAACAGATAAAATGAACATGGAAATTGTCCTGGAGAAGTAAAGAGACATTCAAATCAAATTATTGAAGATGAGTTGTTGGCAAAGGTGTATAAATAAACCACTTAAATTGTAAAATCGCCTCATTGCATAGCACATGCCAACTGAAAATATGGGTAACCATTTCTAGAAACCCGGCATTACCTCGGAAGTTTATTATGGTATTTAATATTAAAATCCTCTCAATTCCATTTCCATTTTCCATTCTCATGGAAAATACATTTTGAAAACACAATTTGATCGTCAATCGTCATCCTCACATCAATGACAATCCACCGTCCAGCAGTGAAAGAGATAAAAGCAGACGATTTCCGATGCGTTTGCAGCCTCACGGCACAATGCAGGTCATATAATTTTATAGACTTAATTCGAAGTACATTAAAGCGGAGTGGAGGCCATATTTCGAGTCTGGTCGAAGCTACCGACCGCTGTAGGCAGGCCGCGTCCCATGCATAATGCAGCCATCGGCAAAAAGTCTTCTGAGAAAAGCAACGTTTGATGAAAAAGGAACGGCGGGTAATGGGCAGCGGTGATTGCGATTCCGCGCGCGTCCTGAGTCGGCTGACCGGCTGTCGCTAGACGGAACAGCTGCATAGAGTAAGGCTAGAGATAGTGCAACACGTGATACTGTATGCGATGTATACACAGGGTAAAATTTAAGGTTAGGAAAACCTGATGGTTCCCATCTGTCGATTTCGACGTGATAACGAGGTATTTAAAAATTTGCATAATTTGCGTAATTCTTTAAAAAAAGTCGTAGCTATGAAATATTTGGTATACACAGTGAATCAATTAGGGCAACAAATACTGGAACTTAAATTAAGTTTCAACGTGAAAAGGAGGTATAAAATAAAATAAAATTATAACATCTTTACGAAAATTAAGTGGGCTACCAGTTATTTTACTTTACAGGCCTAGCTATGGCATTTCTAAGGCTTATTTGACTGGGTTAGAATCAGATCTTTTGATCTTTATACAATATTCGAATAGTCATAGTTTATTTATCCATTGTAAATCATCTTTTGGGAGGTTTGACGTCCCGTTTAATAGTCGTTTGATTACTAATGTGAACTTTGTCTTTACATGTAAAAATTATAGGATGGTGACATGAGTGAAATTTCTTTACAATATAAGTGTAAATAGACGAAGAGGCGGGGCTAGAATCGAAGAACTGAGCTTGGGGCTTGGGAAAGAGACGCAACAGAACAATCTTGGTCTATTAGCGACCCAGTGCGACTGCGTGACATCTAGGTTCCCACCAAAGTTCCGTAGAGAAGAGGGAAAACGTCACAACAGACGCGAGATTACGTGAATAACAAATACAGCGTAATCCTATTAGACTAAATTTCTCAGGAACTTACAAAGTTAAATAAAATAGGTAATTTCATTTTAATATTAGCAAGGGCACGATCCAACTTTCTAGTTGTATGGAAAATACCTCAAACCGATCAAGAAGAGAAGGCTAGAAAAATTGTTCATACCTTTTTGGTAGAAACACGTTATAAGTTCCAAAAGACATTATGCAACAAATAATTAATTCGGCCAACGTTGGGTTGGAGCTTTTTAAAGGGCCCTATAAGAAGATACAGTTTGTTCAACTCGCAATTATGATTCAAACGGAAATACTTAGTTTTTGGTTTTTGGTCGTTTAAATCCAATAATTAATTGCCTGCCGACCCGCGTCTTTCTATGATCAGGAAGATTGACGAACTTTAAAGGATTACAATTATATGTTATACACACTTGCATCATAAATACTCTCTCGACTAGATAAACTGTAACATTTGACAAAAAATTAACCAAATTTTCTTTTTAACGCATTTGAACATCTAACATAAGAAACCCAGAATCGTTTCGATAAAAACTCCTCTTAAAACTCCTCTTAAAACTTTTTAATGAAAGAATTCCGAAATCGCAATTAATTTCACATCGGAACCTCTGACACGTAGGCTTATATGTTCAATTAACCAGAAGAATGTGCAACAATAACTCAACCGATCTGTATGCCACCGTGGAGCGGTTTGGGGATTGCTCTAACAATGGAGTAATTGCAGCTAAACGCCAATCTGGATGAAGAAAAACTGAAACACGACCTTATATAGGAGGTGCTCGCAGGTGTGCCAACATTCAACATGAGATCTACCAGACAGGTGTACCAACGGACGTCAGCGAGGCCGATGTAGGCTTTGACAATGACGTGTAGGTTGAAGGTTGACATGTGTTGACTTTCATACCTCTATGGAATGATGGAGGTTGACGTGTTAATGTATAATCTCTAGAATAAACTTCTTATGGACCAGTTTGAAGCTACTTCTTGATATTACCACATATTTCATCAAAGGAACATCGTGTTTTGGACATGTTAGGCGAATTTTTTTGTTATTTTGCTCGACTTTGGGGGTAGAATATGGAAGATATATAATTTAACAGGTCTTAGAGTCTGCTACAGTTGGCCAAAAGGTTACTAAATTCTGCAGAGGACAAAAGTTTTGAGATGTTAATTTATTTTGTCAACAAGCGAATTTGGAGGAGCAAAGGAGGAGAACGTTGACAAAGATCAAGAAAGTAACAGAAGTATGCAAGATTGTCTATTTCATTTCGCAATACAAATTTTGTTCACTTTATTTATATTGAGGCCGATTTATATTGGCCTCTTTATAATTTGTTCTTTATTTTCAACCTGCAGTAAAAAAGGCAGCAGAAATTCTTTGATCACATCTTTCAAACTAAAATATTCTACTTTCTGTTTTTGCATACCGGCTACCTATAAAAATAAGCCCACGCATTGATTTAATAGACTTTCAGATAATCCATCATAAAAACTTTCGAAATTGATAACCCCATCATAGTTTAACATTCAAATCACTTTTATCTGCGTCCAATCGGCCCTGGAAATCTCTTCCTTCTGAATATCAAAGCAGCACTCGAGCCCTATTAGATCAGTTGGTATTTACTACAGTCCATAATGAGGGGTTGCCGCAGTATCAATCAAGAAGGCCGTTTCCCGCGCTAATAAGCCGTCAGCTGATGCAGATGAAATCAGCTGATAATCTGCGCCGGCGCACCAACAGGTGTCACATCATCGCGCGATCCCGACACCGCTTGTCAAACTGTAGTTTCGAGTGAGTGGGATGCTTATATGTCACTGTCCAAATTCGGCACGGACCGAAAGAAACGCTCGCTCTACTTTTTAGGGACCGTTTAGCATAATCGTGTTATTCTAGTTTCCACTCCTTAATCTACATCCTGATAAGGGCCATTAGTGTGTCGTTCTTCACGCATACATTGCAATCGAGTAGTGTTTATGTTAAAGTAAAAAATATTAGATTACTCTGATCAACTTGATAACAGAAAGAAACACATGATTAACAACTGGTACGGAAATGATCAGCATAGCACAATTCGAGTAGTTAAGTCGTGTCACTTCGGTGTGTGTCTTTCTTGAATAAAATAGAAGGGAGTTGTTGCACCAAGTTTACCATTTTCTCGGCCAAACATCATTGCGATGGTACAAATGTATGGTAATAAGACCGAATAAATATTTGGAAGCAGAGCAACAAAAAATATACTTGGAATATTGAGATCGTACAATACTTTAAGGCAACAAACATTGACCTCTCGATACAAGAAATCATACGAGATCGTACACGAAAGACATAAGACATGACAAAACAAGACACGGAGGGTTGCCAACTCAATAAACCGAGACTGACGATGAGTTATGGGACGGCCCCCGCGCGGGTGTGGGACGCCGGGACCTGGGACGACCCGTGGGTGTCCTCAATCGTGCCCCCGTCCCATTGTGACTGGGCATGTCGCCCCATTAGGCCTACACTGTGTACCGACCCGGAGATCGGAGACGCCCTGTTGTGGTATCAAGAGTTAACTGTATTCAGATGAAAACTGTCTCGGGGCATCAGAGTGATGCAAAGATAGACAGATGCAATGCGAGAGGTAATTAGATGAGTAATTAGAACATAAAGAGGAAGTTGTTGAAGTTCACTGGTATGCACTTGAAGACATGAAACATTGAAGCACAATTAATTGTGTTTGTCTATGTTCAAACTATTTGAGAACAGTTTGATTCTGTGTTTTTAAGATGAATTTAAGTACTTCCTAAAAATTCTGATATGTAGTTTGAATGGTAATCTAAAGTACGAAAAACGACTTTACTTTGTTAGTTTAGAAATCCAAGCAGCTTTTTGACAAGGAATCTAAATTGTTCAGTAGAGTATTTTCAAATTCGTTTTGTTTGTTAGCCAGCTCCAGGTGTTCATAAGTTTAATTGTTCAAAACTTCTAAACTGTATTCAAGCTTGTGTCCAAACTGATCCGATCCATCTATCTTTGTGAAATTAGTTTGGTGACCGAGTGATTCGTATACTTTGCAAAACGGCAAATTGGCCAATTGCATTTCAAACCGTGCTTTGATAATGACATCTGTTACACATTTTACACAGTTAATTTATTGGCATTCCTCTTAAAGTG